CTCTCTCTCTCTCTCTCTGTTTCTCTCTCTCTCTTCACCCTCCCCCAACCCTCGCACACACACACCATTACTCTCTCTTACCTCCAGCTTTACAGCCACCATGAAAGTGAATGGATCTTCTCTGCTATGTGTCCACCGTGACATATTAGTTCACCACAATAGCAAAGAAATGGACTAAGATACTATGGACTGAAACACCTGAAATGTCCCCTTTATAAATTATCATAGGGATTTTCTCACAGTGATAGAGAGCTAACACACACCTATAACAAATAAATCACACACAACCTTTAGCGACAAGTGTAAAACTGCCATGTTCTTGTCAAGGGCCCAGAACAGAAATGTCACAGAAATCCCAAGGCGGGTTCCATTCAGCTGCCTGTCTTGTGGGACTGCGGCCCCCTTTGCCTGCTCTACCACTCGTTACCATAATGATTAGGCCAGAGAACAGTGTATTACTCTGAAGTCATCACAGACAAAGCAAGGAATCTATCAGGCAGGACTGTTCCTTTTAAAATTGTTTACTTCAACTTGAGAATCTCTCACAGTATAAACATCATGGAGACAATGTATGCTGGTAAACCGAGCAGGGACAATTCTGTTCCTATTCTAGGTTGCAAAGTGATAGATGGTGACACTGGTGAATAACATAGTGGCATTACCTTGGCAGGGCATGGTAATAAAAGCTCTTAAATATTGGCCAGAGAAGGGAACTAAGCCAAAGCTTCAGAGAGTCTTAAAATGTGATTGATAAAAGGTCAGGTTAGAAATGTTCCTTTTCAATATTCAAAACAAGTGGTGAAGGTGGGGGAGGTGCTCCGTCCGTAGCAGAGGCGATGGCAAGAGCCTTTGGGAACCTGACACCGATAATGTGACTGCGGGAATTTCCACATTTCATGATGCTGGTGTATACCTTGGAAAAGAAGTTTAGCTGAAACACCTAAGTCCCCACAGTGCCACTACCGTGCTGCAAGGCCCCGGATAAGTGACAATCTCTTTGTGCTTCTGTTCTTTCATCTGTAAAATGAGAGATTCAGATGAACGGTCTTTAAGATACCAGCCAACTCTGAAATTCTCTGATTCCATGAGGGAAATTATATGATAATGAGTTTCAACTGTAGTCTACGGACAGCACCACGTTGGTTTTATAGTGCACATAATTGACCAGTCTATTTAACACAAGTCATGGTTCCTTAGCCTAAGCCAGTCAAGAAACCCTTTTTAATTTCTGCACTTTTTGCTTTAGGATTCTGTTATGACACCTCAGAAACACCATGTTAGAGAACTTGCTAAAAAGAGAATTAAAAGTATCTTCCCCTCTTCATGTCTTATTAAAGTCACTCCACTGCCACAACATCATGACACACATTCCTGTGACCTGAGCTGCCAAGAGCTGCAGGTTGAGTTAAGTAAAGGCGAGCTCCTGAAATACCACTGACCTCACTGCCCTATGGCACTGTTTTATGGTGGAGTCTTTCCCACAGCCTTTAAGATCGGTATCAACCACAGGGAGACTTTACTGATGTAAGTGTCTGGTGAAGAACAAAGACATTACTCTAGAAAGCTATTTGGGGAAATGAGCACAGAAAGTGCAGAGGGACACTGAAGCCCAACAGCTAGTCACTGACAGTCAGAGGGAGCTTACGGGTCAAAGGCTGCAAGCAGGAAGTTAAGCAGGAGGCTGATGGACTGCTCCACGTGGATCTGGTGTGTGGTTGGCATCCGTTTGTTGAGCTGGTAAAAAATGGTGGAGAGCACGGCCTCTAGACGGGCTACATTAAGCTCCATGTTTGGGTCCAGGTTGTTCAAGGCATTTTCTCGCAGGGCTTCTATGACGTTCCAAATGTCTACCAGGTGCACTACAGTGAAAGCAGAGGTAAAACATCAGCCCAAACTGAGTGGAAAGGCAGACACACTTCTTGACCTGCCCATCCACCCCAGTTTATCTAGATTCCCCCTCCCCCCCGCCCCATGGATTGGCTACTATAGAAGCTGACATAAATAAATGAGTTTAAGACAGCACATGATCTCTAAGGGCTTTTAATATTTTATTATTATTTATTTATTTTTAAAAATGCATTTAGTACAGGGTGCATAGGGTCTCACTACACAGATAGGATTCGTAATGATCCTCCTGTTTGTCAGCCTCCCAAGCTCTGGGATTACAGGTGCTTATCACTATGCCCAGTCTCAATTGCTATCTCAGTGTCCCCTGGGGGTGGGGCCGGCACAGCACAGCATGCTGGGGATCGAACTCCAGTCCCTACATCTTCCAAAGAAGGCACTTTAATCCGCTGAGCTATCTGGCTGGCTCTTCTAAGAGTTTTTGTTTTTTTTTTTTTAAAGAAAAATTCAATAAAGCAATGGTGTAAAATTTCAAAACATGATTGTAGGACAGTAACAATGTTTAGTACATTGTATATTATTATCTTCAAAGCAGTTGCTCTTATTACAAGACATAGGCATGAAAAATAGATCAAGTAATATAGGCACAAACCTTAATTTCAATGAACTATTAATAGTATAACTATCTTAATTATCATATATATCACATATAAATACATATATATGTATTTATTTGTTTTTCCTTTTCTCTTCCTTTATTTACTCCTTCCACCTCAGTTTCTCTTTCCTTTTAAATAATTTCTTCCCACTTCACAATAGTATACATGTTGGGTCTGGCTTGCTGTAGGATGTACAACGCTGAGCTAATGGTTGACTGAGTGCACAATGAGTTATTTCTAATCTTCACTGTAACTCCTGAAGTACCGCCGCAATTCCTAGGTTACGTGCAAGAAAGCCGAAGGACGGGGGAGTTAACTGACAATACAGAGGCCAGTCAAGGGCAAATCTGATATTTAAAGTCTATCCAAGTTTATCTCGTTTAAAGTATCCAAGTTTACCCAGTTGAAAGTACTTCTCCACTGTGCACATTGGCTCCTTCAAAAGACAACAGGACCAGAACTTAAGTTTTAGTGTCTGGAAGGATATCAAACTTGCATTTGAGTTTTTCAGATATTGTCATATACTAATAGATTTCTTAACAGTGTGCAGCTGGAACTGAGCAGAAAGTGAAGGAAGACAAGAAAAAAAGGACAAGCATTTAATGCAATGAAGTAGCACAACTAAGGAGCTGATTATTAACTTCCCTAACCACAAGCAATTTCTAGGTTGCATAATTGTGCTGCTTAGTTTTGCTTGTCAGCTTGGCTGGAGGAAGTCACCTGGAGGGGTGATTAGATCTCGAGGGCACTAAGATCATCAGTGAATAAACCACAGATGCGTTCATAGCTAACAGGGAGGTGCGAGGAGGTGGGGCCTTGCTGCTGAAGTGTATCGCGGAGGCCAGAGCTCAGGAACTGTATCAGGTTCCAGTCCCTTCCTCTTGCCAATCAGCTCTGCTTTCTGGTTGCCAAGACAGCAGCAGCTTCCTTTTGCCACACCTCCTGCCAGGCTACCATGCGTCTACTTCATAGCCAGCTGACCGTGAACTGCAATCTCTCAAACTCTGAGCTAAAATAAACTCTCTTCCCTTAAGCTCTGGGTGCCAGGTAGTGTTGTCTCAGCAAAGGGAAAGCTGGCCAGTACAATCAGTGACTGGCTTATCCAGTTTATGAAGTCACGCTTACTTTCACTGGCATAGTAAAAAACAAATTAATTTCTATTTTTTCTCCTTTTCCCTGAAGTTGTATTAGGACACTCCAAAAACCATCACTGCCATTGTGGTAATGAACTTGTCCATTAGCACAACAGGTTGCCCAGGGCTCCCTGCCCTCCATTGCCACCGATGCAGGTGGCCTCTCCCTCATCCGCTTGATGTCACAACTTTCTAGAATTCTAAATAGCTGACATTCTACAGTATGCATGTTTTTTTTTTTCACCAGGATATTTTTATTTAATGTAGGTATTTTAAGATTAATGTTATGTTGTTGCAGGTATCAAAAGTTTGGTTCTTCTTATTGCTGGGTAATATCATCGTACGGATCTATCACAGTTTGGTTATCAACTCGCTTGTTGATGGACATTTGAGTTGATCCAAGTAGAGTAGACATAAACTCCTATTTATCTTGGTTAGTACTTAGAAACGAGATCTGATTATACAGTTTAACTTGGGAAGAACCTTTGAGAGTGTTTCTCAAACCATTTGTACCATTCCATCATCCCCTCAGCAGGGTGAGAGTTCTAGTTCTTCCCATGTTTTCACCAAGTTCAAGGTTCACTATTCAGTACACTTTTGCATTTGCAAAAACTTTGTCTTTTCTCAGTGAAGCATATATTTATGATTCATTTCTCCAGAAGTGTAATAGGACATATGCTTTTGCACTGGCCATTTTCCTTTTCTACATCCTTGGTTGCTGGGTCCTTTACTTACAGGCTTCCTATTGCTTTTGTTTCTCTTTTATTGTGCTACAAAGGAATAAACCTAGGGGTGTCTTATTACTGAACTACTAACCCTTTTATTTTCTATTTTGAGACAATGTTTGCAGCCCTCCTGCCTCAGCCTCTCAGGTAGCTGGGATTATAGGTGTGCACCACTGTCCCTGGATTTAATAACTTCCCATCAAGCTGAAATCCAAAGGTGGCCTACAAAACAACTTTTTTTCCTATAGTACTGATGATTAAACACAGGGCCTCTAGACTGAACTATATTTCTAGCCCCTTTTGATTTTTGAGACAAAGTTTGCCCAGTTGCTAAATTGTCCAGAGGCCTGGAATTAACCGTCTTCCTGTCTTCACTTCCAGAATTCTGGGGTTGCAGGCCTGTGCCGCAATGCCTGGCTTGTTTCTGTTTTGGAAATCTGGCTTCCGCTTACTTCTTGTCTACCTCTTATTCATCAGATATTGCTGCCAGCGGCACTCCTTCAGGGGCCCACTTAGCAGATTCTGGGCTCTCTCACGGGCCACCTCAGAACCCATTCTTCCTCGAGCAGCACTCAGTGGGCTTTCTCTGTGGTTGGGCTGCTTGTCTGTCCCTGGACTGTGAGTGGGCAGAAAGAGACTGCGTGGTGGTAACCGCTCACATCTCCAGCACTCCTCATATACCTTGAAGGGGCTGAAATCAATATCTGATGGCTAAGTGAGAAAGTGACAAGGAAGTGGTTCAATAGGGAAACAAGGTTAGGAGCAGTAAACTGCAGCTGTTACACACCACATGGGTGCTGGTTTGAATCCTAGACACAACATCAGTGAAGCTTGTTCAGTTCATGTCTCTGATCCATCATGTTAGAGAAATGGGATGAATAAGAGCAACCATCCTTGGATGATTGCAACAAGGATTAGTGAGATAAAGCTTGGAAATCACTTGGAATTAGGCATGTTACCCAGGAAACAATGGTTTATTATTTAGAGAAATAAAATATATAGGAATCACATTGAAGTTATGAAGATAGAGCAGGCGGATAGCTCAGTGGACTAAATGCCTGCTTAGGCAAGTGCAGGGACTGGGGTTCGATCCTGGGCACCACATGCCATGCTGGCCCTGCCCCTGGGCATGCTGAGCTGGCCACTGAGACTAGGCATGGTGGTGCATGCCTATAATCCCAGCACCGGAGAGGCAGAAACAGGAGCCTCAGTACGAGTTCAAGCTGTGTAGTGAGACCCTGTACCAAATACATAAAAAAGAAGTTATTAAAGGTAAATACACCCCATGTGTGTTCTCCTTCATTTAGGTTTGCAATATAAAGAAAAATAGTGTTGATTCTAAAGCTGTGCATACATTTTCTCTTTTAATCTCTCTACATCTCCTTCTGGATGGTATTAGTTTCTCGCCTGCCATCTCAGCTACTGTGAGTGCTGAGACAGGGGATCGAAAGATTAAGAGAAGCATGGGAACATTAGCAAGGCCTTGTGTAAAGACAAATAGCACTGGAGGTGCCGTTCAGTGGTGGAGTTCTTGAGCACCAGAAGAAAAAAAATACTAGTCATGGTTATATCATTATAAACGACTGAAATAAAACTAATTTCATAACTATTTGCAAGACGCAGTAGTAGATCTCAGGGACTCACAGGCAATACGGGTGTAGTTTATGCCTTGGGGAGTGAGCAGTCAGCTGGGGACACAGACACGACTCTGATGGACCGTGAGAGGCTGACAGGCACCGTAGAAGACAGGCATGGGGTAGAAGATGGGATTATGATATGGCTGTGATGGGGCCATGGGTGAGATAAGGCTGCAGGAGCACTGTAGCTCAGAGGAAGGTTTTGTTCTTTAGGCTGAGTAGGAAGACACAGGTTTTAAGAAAGAAAGAGCCACATGCTCAGAACGGCAGCTGAAAATGCAATTTCTGACTTGAAGAGAAAAAAAATGATGATGGACAGGCAGGAAGTGGGAAGTAGTGGGAGCCTGGTGCGGTCCAAGCAAGAGGCAGAGCTATTTTTATGCACAATGTGGCAGTACGCAGAAAAGCTGTCACCATGCGCCACATTATATTGCCTAGCTCCAGGGGAGGCGTGGTGAAGAGGGTACAGGCTGGATAATCATGAAGACTGAGGTTCCCGTCCTGCTTTTGCTGGTCACGGTGAGATTGGGGAAATGGTCTCTTTTCTATAAATCTTAACATTGTCTTTGTAGAAATGAAGAAACTCCTTTTAAAGTGTGGCTGAGAGTCCTAGCCCAGGTCCGGTGAGTGTGTGGGAGAGCTTCCGGCTACCCTGCGCTGGCAGGACCGACTATTCATCCCAGCCCAGGCGCAGCGTGGATGACATGATACTTTACTTGGAAGACCCAAAAACCTCCAGCAAGAAGCTACTAGAATTATTTCAGAAATTCAGTAGCATAGCAGGTTATAAAGTCAATACCCAAAAGTCAATAGCATTCCTCTACACAGACAACAAACACACTGAGAGGGAAATTATAGA